AACCCTAAGTAAACAAGACAAAAGGATGGAAAACAGGAAAAAATGTTGCAAACCATTTTGAAAAAATTGCACCCCCCCTTCACTTATTAACATGTAGAAAAATACTCCATAAAGTTACTTTTTATAAACATGTACACATTAGTACCAGCAGAGGAAAATTTACCAGGCAAAAAGGCTGGAGTTGCGGAGAAATTTTGATCACCACGCCCACTTCCAGTGCGTCCAGGTGCACCCATAACCTGAGCTCCACCATAGACAATTGATCCCCTTCCACCAGGGATCATACTTCCTTTTCCTTTAGTCACAGCAGTATTTAACTTGCTTGCATCTAAAGACGATTCAAGCTCTCCAGTTTCAACAATTATAGGTTGACCATTTTTAGGTGGGGATAGAGCTTGAGATCCAGCACCAGGACGTTGGATATATTGCTGCCCAGTAGCTTGCAACGAAGGTTGTCCCCTGCTTTGAACAGAACTTCCCTGCATAGTTTGGAAATGCATAGGATGTGGGGTCCTGATCACTTGGCTATTTAGGACTGTTGGTTGAAAATTCATTTGAGAGTGTGGAGTTATTCCTCTTCCTTGTGCCCTATGTGGCATTGAAGCGGGATATGAAGAGCCTTGAATCACCGGCATGGTTGTTAAAGGCTTTCCAGCAACTAAGGAAACTGAATCATTGATGTTAAGCTTGTCCATAGCAACAGACTCAATCACATTTTTCCCTCTCAATAACGAACTAGGTTGAGCTGCAGAAGAACTCTCGCTCACACGCGAAGATTGGGTGGTATGACTCTTTGATCCTGATTGCAACTCTCCATCATGTGTGGCATTCATGTCTTTGGTATTCGAGGGATAAAATGGAGGAGAAGCATAATTCAAGCTTGACACAAACCCTTGTTTGGAAGGCGGTTCTGGATTCAGTTCAGTATTTGATGCATCAGGTACAGACCCTTTCCCAGAACTACCATGTGAAGGCTTCTCAGTCGCCGTACCAGAACTAAGTCCAAAGGAGCAAATGAAAAAAATTAATATATCGGTTCAAAAAAAACAATATACGGAGTATTATTTTCTTTGAGTCCAAGAGTCCATTTGGATCCCCAAAAATACCATAGGAAGAAAATAGGATGGAAAACATAAAGAAAGATTGGAAGGAAAGAAAATGTGGGAGAAAATATAAGATACTGTAAGACCAAACTCATATAAGTTTAGATATTTGCTTACATTTCATTTATTTACGCCTATTACACAATGATTAACAAATCTATATACATGAAAATTTTGAACAATTAATATTTCATTTTCATTTCAAAAAGTAATACCATACATATAAAAATACTGTCATTGGCATGCGACCCTTCCCTAGAATTTACCAGGATCCGAACATAACCTTGTGAATGAAGGTAAAATTATTATCCACTCACCGTTTGTTTAGGGGGGGAGGAGCATCATTGCTGGCTTTAGGAACAGGGCGATACCTTCTAGGCCCTCGCCCCCTCACTCTAGGAGCATTATTCTGAGTTTTCTGATTATTACCATAAACTCTGTTCTCATTGTTATAATTGTTCTCATTGCCATATGCTCTAGGTCTTCTTCCACGCGGATATCCCAGATCTGTTCCTCTTGTTTTGCCGTGTCCATGATAACGACCCCTGGAACTCCTCCTTCCCTAGTAGTTAAACAAAAGTATTAGAGGAAAATAAGCAACACCTAATGAAACATGATGTCCAAAAATACAAAACCAGAAAAAGCATTCACCCCATAGTAGTGTCTATCCTCCGTGGTTAACTCTTCAAACTTGTCATGCCCCCATTTTTTATCATCTCTCGACTCCCATAACTTTCTTCCACCAAAAGTTCTCCTTGAAAGATAACAAAGAAACAAGCAAACTCATTAAAGACTACAGCTACTTGGCAATGAAGTAACGAACCTCATCTCATACACAAGAAAAGAAAAACATTAGAAATTTTAATTCCAACTAAAATCTACTTGGAACAATGTGGTATAGACACAGTGTCAATTACCAATGTCCTTCACAAAACTCCAATGATTATGACATGATATAGCAGATTGGGAATTTTAAGGAATTGATGGAAAATGCAAGCTGCTTACATGCCCTATGTTAGAAATCTTCAATCAACACAAAAGAAAAACAGTAGCACAATCAGAATTCAAGATCAATACAAAATATGAAACACCAAACAGAACCCATACCTCTGCCGCCCACGTGAATTGTCCCGAAATCTGTCATCATGCATATAAAATGCTCCAGCTGTTGGCACGGCATATGGTTCATTCTCCTTCTTCTCCTCCAATTCATTCTGCATATTACCACCATCATTGCCACCAAAACCATCACCCAATTCTGTAACCTCCGCTGCCAGTCCTTCCCTGATAACTTCAGAACCGCCATCTGCAAGCATACCCACTGGTCGAGCCTCACCAACAACTTCCACACCAACCGGCACACCAGCCTCCTCGAACTCCTCCCCAACATACTCCTCCTCGTAGTCTTCAAGGTACTCCGACTCCTCTTCCCCTTCATCTTCTTCTTCTTCATCATACTCCGCATAGCCGCCTTGATCCGACTCCACATCCGAATCAATCCTGCGCGCCGGATTCTCCCTCCTCACATGTTCCCCGCTTCCTCCGCTGCGGCGCTCCTCTTCATCGTCGCTCGCCTCTCTCCTCCGCATCTTCAACGACAGCTTCGCCTCCTCCGGGTCGCTCTCGTACTCCTCCTCTTCTCCCACTCCAGCAGCCATAGATTTGCTCATAATTAAACACCCTAAATCCTCGAACGATCTTCAGAATCACCTCCGGGAAAGAGGACAATCTTTGCTTGCAATCTCGCCTGAATCGGCCACCGTAATTCGCGAAAAAAGGGATTGATCTTTAAGCAGGATTTTCTAGGGTTAAGTTCCACAATGGAAACTGGAAACCACTTAGGATTTGAATAATAAACAGTACTCCGTAAATCCTTATTTTAAAATTATTTTATTCACAAATATGAAATAAAACATACTCCGTACAAATTACAGGTTTGAATATATTATGTCAAGAAGTATATAAAATATGATATGAAAATAATATTTTGTTTTATCAAATAATCATTGAAAACATACAAATAAAGAAAAATTATTGAGATATCAGAATACTAACTCAGACGATTGTTTTGGAACACGGGGAATGTGAGTATTATATCCGGAGTATTATGACAGTGTTACCCGTAAGACACGGTTCCAATGAACTTAAGTTTTTGATTGGATTGATTCTTTGACAACTCAAACATTTTTGTTGCACCTTGGACAATCACCTTGCAACCACCTAAGCTATATCTAGGCTCTTTTTTAATATATATATATATATATATATATATTTGTGTGTGTATAGAGAGAGGGGCGATTATAACTCCAATTAAGAATCAATAATGGAAGCTGGCTAAAATACAAAGACTATCATAACTAATGCTACCATAATAGTAGTAGTAGTAGTAGTAATAATAATAATAATAATAATAATAATTGTCTAACATCATCCTTCTAGGTGAATTCTAGTTGATGCAAGAGAAAGTTTAGACATTGGCTAGAAAGTGAAAACTTTGAGAAAAGAGAAGTCTAACATGCATTGTTGGCTGGTGACATCGTTGAAGAAGACAGAAGTCTGACGTGCGCTAGTAGCTGCTGACGTCGATAAAGAAGAGAGAAGTTAGATATGTGCTAGTAGCTGTTGACACCAAAGAAGAAGGGAAGCGTATTGGAGGTGTCAATTGGGCTGAAGATCTTTGACATTTTTTGTATTTTTCTTGGATATGGGTAATCTCTTGTTTCTTTTTCTCAATTTTGAGAATTTTTTATGACTTTTTTGAAGGGGTGATAAGTTGTTGAAGTATTTTTCATCTTGCTCTATTCCCCGTCTTGGTTGCTTTTGGTTTGATTTACTTGAATTTTTTTTATCAATTGTACAAAAAGAAAGAGATGACATCGATCTTGAGAATGACTCGAGTTGGAAAGAAGATAAGACATATTTTTTTATAAAAGAGAAGAAGGCATGACAAATTTATTGAGAGATGAGTGTTGGGTTATGGATAGATGTCATGAATATTGTGTGAGATGTGAGAGATGGAAAAAAACAACCAGTGAAGTGTGGTTGAATTAGATGGAGGGTAAGGATTTCTGATCATTTGATATTGATCGAAAATTTTAAAACAAGGAAAACTTGAAATAAGGTGTGGTTGGCTAGAAATATAAAACCAATGATAAGGTCTTTAAATTGTAGATCTGAACATTATTCTTGTACAAATTGACTCTTCGTGACTGCAAGGGTTGCGTGGTAGATGGTGGATTTGTTCGTAGGCGGCTGTGGCGTGATCTGTGGTTGCAGCGACTGGCAGCGGCACGCCTAGAATTGGACGACAAGGCACCAATAACATCGGCAATGTCGTGGTTTCTAGACGATGTTGCCGGATTGAGACGCAAGGATTGTTTTTCTCTTCTTTTGTTTTTTCATGGGAAACAAGAGTTGGCATAGGAAATAGCGAGTGATTTTAAGAAAACAGGGAACAAAGAAGAACAACGGCCCGACAGACAGCTAATGGCAGCGGCTCCACCCGACGACAGAATTCTAGGTCACTAAGGCTGGCGACGACTCCGATATCATATTGAATAATGAAACAATTGTATTACTCAATGAATAATAGAATATATGACAAGTGTATTACTCCATCCGTCTCCTTAAAATCTTTTCGTTTTGACTTTTCGTGGTTTTTAAGGAGAGTTGAAAAAAGGTAAAAGTTTACCAAAATACCCTTAATGAAAATGAGTGGGGTGTATTAAATAATGTGGAAAAGATGTAATAAATAAAGTAAGTGGGGATAGTTGTGATATTTTAAATGTTAAAAAAGGTAATGAGAAGATTTATGTGGAACAAATAAAAATAGGTGTATGGGGGACGGAGGGAGTATATAAATATAAATATATATGTGCCACATGAAGCCCACAAACATGTATAGGGCTAGTAGCTTCAATTCCCACCATTGGTAGGGCACATAACCTAGAGAGGGAGAGATAGAATGGATGTGAGGGAGTTAAGGGCAGTTGTGGGGGTTGTAATGGTGGGATTACTGGGGATGGTGGTAGGGCAGTCTAGTGGGTCCCCCACCTCTTTCAAAGACTGCTATGCAAAATGCTTTGTCTTCTGCATGATTGAGCCTTCCCAAACTCTCTGTTCTTGCACCACAGGCTGCCTCAAAGACTGCATCTTTAACTCCGCCGCCGCCGCCCACATCCCTGATGGTCACGCCGCCGCCGCCGCCTCCTCCTCCTACAACTTCTGCAAGCTTGGCTGTGCCCTCTCCACCTGCTCCTCCATCAGCACTAAGCATCAACCCAGTATGCATTAATCCCTTCCATTTCATATACTTTTCTCTCTCAAAAAAATTATTGTTTGGCTTTTTTAGCCAAATTTTAATATCTTTAACTATGAATAAATATATTTAATTATAATGTAAATTTTATTTAAATGAGTCTTTTTAAGATATAACGAAGAAATTTTGGAATGGAGGGCGTATTCTTTTATTTTTAACACTTTTCTTAGGTTTCGTAAAAGTTCATTTACACTATTTGAACAACCTGCAAAATTTTATTTTTTAGAAATAGTTTTATGTATAAATTGTTATAGAAATAAAAAGTATAAATTGCATTAGAAGTGATCAAAAAACTACTACATGATAAGTTCTACAAAACAATATGCAACGATAATATTTGAGTAAACTTTTATAATCATTTAAATAAAAATTATAATAATATAACAAGACATTATTTGATATATTATAGGTCATACACACTATTTTGTTATAAAAACATTAACTTTATATTTTGGTATATTAAAATTGTTTTAGTTTCAATTAGGTATTTAATTTTTCTCATAATTTGGTGTTAATAATACTTTTTCTTTTGTTTTTTTGAAATGAAAATTTGCAGATAAAGAGGAAATGAATGGCTGTGTTGGGTCTTGCTCAGACAAGTGCAACAACAACTAGGCTTCTTGAAAAATTCATATTTCACTATTATTGTTCCATCTGTTTCTCTTCTTTTTTTTCGTTATTTTATTTTAAGGAGGCTGTCCATTTTAATGTACTCGTAACTAATTACATTTAGGAATTTAATTATGTTGTATTTGGTCTTTCCTAAGATCTTATTCTCATTACATCTTTATTATCGCTTCTTGCGTTTTTTAGAAGTAAATACGGAATATGTACCTGATGGTGTAAATTACTTGACCGGTCAAACTATACTAGACCGGGTCTAGAATAGTGTGCTTGATTTGGTAAAGTAAGAAAGGTAAAAACACGCAGATTGACCGGTAGGACTTTAGGTGGAACACCTGTAGCCCAATTTATATTATAACGGAGAATGCACGAGTGCTTTTACAAGGGAGTTTAGATAGAGTGAATTCGGATCCCTCTTTCTGAGGTTTACATGAGTATTTATACTAGGCTAAGGGGGACAAGACCACGTGCGCCCACGTGGGGGCACGCTGCTGATGTGGTGCGAGGTGACTGGTTTCGTCCTTGAACTGCCTTGTCGCCTTGCGAGGGGGTTATTCCCTTTGTCAAGTAGTGCCTTGGATGGATTCCTCAAGTATCTCCCGCTATCCTCCACTGACATGGGTCGCTACACGCCAAACCCTTCCAGACTCTCTTCTGCCGGCACTTTACAACCCTAGAAACTACACCGGGTAATCTTCGAGAGATGAATTCATCGAAGTCAGGGAATAAATAGGGTGACAAAGTAGTTTGACCGGTATACTTTTTCGTGAAGTATACCGGTCATCTTTGGGCCGATCACATATCAATTTGCTGATGATTTAAGTCTCCCTTCCAAAACTTTCGAGATTGACCGGCCAACTAATTGGTCTTCTCCTCTGACCGGTCGTGGGTGGAATACACCCATCAGTACCAATTGATTGGTTATTTCGGACGTCGGCCCAACGTATCCATTTTATTTGTTTATATGGTTGTAGTCGGGCTAGGCTAAGAATGTGAATCTCAATTCATGTCCCGAGAAAGCCCATTTAGAAAGCGAGGCCCAACCCTTGGGAGCGATGAACGCGGTTGCGGCTAGTAGGGGTGAACAAATACCGAACCGATCTCGAAATTTAACGAAAAACTAGACCTTGCAAAGAAAAATAGTGGAGTCTTGCCAACTGCGCAACGCCCACCGGCGAAACCATAAATATGAAACTTTATAAGTGGTCCTGCAAACAAATTGCTAGGATTTGACTTCTTTTATCCAACAATAATACTCCATCGTCCCAAAAAAAAATCTCATTTTTTTCCAAAACGCCTTTAAAAAAGTTTCATGTTTTCTTTTTTGAATATTTTTTTGTTCTCACAGTATTCCTTTATCTTTTGCATCATTTTCATTCATTTCATTCCACCTTTTTTTTATAAAAAAGTTTTGTGCCAAATCGAGAGAAGATGGGCTAGGGAGTTTGTTGTATAGCATTTGTCATGGCATGGCCCGTGATTTCCCAAGAGTGAAAGCCATTATGACACGTGAAGATGGACAAGCTACACATTATGGAATCAAACATTCAAACCTATAAATGCTCAACCTCTATCTAGTCCCATGCCACTCAAACCCACACTCTCTAAAAAAATAGGTGGGCACCATTTCTTGTAGAATAAAGTGAGGAGTACATTAAAATAAATTTGTACACCAATCAAACATAGACACTGAGTGTCAGTGATCACAAATATTTAGTCTCTCTATATGCATGCTGTACAAAGGGGATACATTATTTTGGTGTACACCTAGCATAACCCTTTTTATGAGATGCTAGAGGCGCACCAAATGTGTACCCTTAATGTACCGCAGGGATTTTTTAACCACACATTTTTTTCTTTTGTACTCCCTCCGTCTCAATGTATTTGTCCAGTTTGACTTTTTCAAGTCAATCTGGACAAACGTTGAGCTTCAATTAAATAAATAACATAATGTATTTTAACATAAAATTGACTTTATAAGATTTATTGTATTGAAAAACTTTCAAAATTGTATTTCATTATGCTAATATATAATATAAATTGAGAGTAATTGGAGTTCAAAATTTATCCAGTATGACTCGAAATTGTCAAATTGGACAAATACACTGGGACGGATGTATTATTTTGCATTGAGAAGTAGGTGGTATGAAAGAACTTGGTGTACATTTAGGGCACACATTTGGTGTACCTTTATCATTTCTTATAGGCGTAGCTCAATTGGTTGAGCAAGAGATGTGAAAGAAGATAAATTTGAGTTTGATTTCTGGAACTGTCCTGGACAATAACTATGTCGAGTCGGAGACCTCTGAAGTATGAGGTCCAGACTCCACTTTTTACGAAACATTATGTGATTAAAGTTTAATTTATCTTTTTTTCAGGTGACTATTCGACTGATTCTGAGAGGAGTCCACGGGGATGGGACTCGTCCATTTTTGAGATGAACACCACTTTGTATGGGAGACGTTGTTTGCTTAATCAAGAGGAATATAAAAATGTGTAAAATTTGAATTTGGCTTATGGAAAGAACAATGACGTCCTTTCATGCCACTATCCAGGCCAGGCCGGCCCCATATGTCATGAGGATGGAGTTCATGTTTTTTTAGATATTATTATCTTTTAGAGTATCATAAACAATTATTTTTACACTGCCCCAATAATATAGTCTAGCTACATTAATATGAATCTGTTTGGGAATAGCGTTCTACGAACACCGTTTAGCCTTGTTGCTTGTAGTGACTGCATATACTTTGAATCATTGACATCTAGCATAAAATTTATTCTGAGTTGTTTCAAGTTTGGCAAAAATCTTATCCACTGTGAATAAAATTCTTGTTTGAACTTAGACCTTATAAGAACATGAATGAGATGATTAGACATATCCCCAATGCGTGCCGCACACTTATAATGTTTGGACTCCTCCCTCTTTGCCTCTAGATTTATTTTACATTATTCATTATTTTTAATAAAAAAAAATATATAAATAAAAAATATATATAATTAAAATAAAAATGATAACACTCTTTATTAAAATGAAAATAAAATACATACAATAAAAATAAAAAAAATAATCATCTAATGTAGGAATTAACTATGGCTTCGTCTTGAAATTTCTTCGATTAAGTCATTCGTTTTGTCGAGCAATTTCATTTTAGATATACATCGCCAATTGCATATTCACAAGCTCATCCGTTGGTGAGAAATCCAAATTTTCAAGAGTGAAATAGAATGAGGGGATGGACAAATTTAAAATGAGAAGGAATCGAAAATGAATGTGGATAACTTGGAAGCAAAGAAGTGCTAAATTTATAGAGTTAAAATAAAAAATAAATTAGAACAGCGATGCGGCGAAGCACTACAATGAATGGAACCGCATGCCCTCACCCGCGTCGCAAGACCGGAGACACACCCAGCATCCGGCTCGCGCCGTGGCGCGAGCCATCATCTGCCATCACTTTCGCTCCGCCCCTTCCTCTTTGGGAAGTAATTTTGATAATTCACAATAACTTAACCACTAAATATTAGGCAATAAAAAATGAAGTGGAGAACTAAATTTGCTCCGAGAGAATTAGAATTAATACAAATATATTTCAAGTAGCCCGGGAAGAGTTTCAAACCATTCTCACCTGTCCGGTAACATTCTCAGAGATTTTTCACCAACAGAAATACAGTGTCTCAACAACAACAAAGGGTGAAACAAAAAGACCCAAATATTACTCCTTAAGACTACAAAAGCCTCCACTTCAAAATGGTGTTTAACTTTCTTTCTTCCCACAAAGGAGAAGAGACTGAAAATATATATAATAAGCATTAAAGAAAGTGGATGTGTATTTTATCACCATATACCTCACAATGTTGTGCCCCTTGAGCCCTTTACACCTCGGAAGCATCCGGCGAGTTTTCGGGCGTCTTTAGAGTAGAAGCGGGACAACCCTTATGCTCCATCACCGCAGCCCTAAACTCCTCAAGAACCGATGTGTCTTTGAATTTTAGGGCATAGGTGACGAGTTTGTCTTTGGTCTCACACGCACTGTTGATGCAGGCGAAGGTGATGCCTTTTTTGTCCATGTTTGTCAGCTTCATCTCAGGGAAGAGATTGGCATTCAGAATCAAACGGCAGTTCCCTCTTGATCTCATGACGAGTCTGGCTTTTCTTGATTCGTCTGTGGAGACGTTTACCTTGACCTCGCCCTTCCCGCGCTCTCTCCACCCTCCGATGAATTCAAAAAGGGCGGAATCGGCCGCGAAGACGGCGTCCTCATTCTCCTCCCCTGTTTCAATACTTCTTTCTTGCATTGATGGGAAACCGGACCCGCCAAAAAGGGAATTGTTTCCATTATTATTGGAAGGGGCGCCAACTCCAAAGGAGGGTTGGTCGAGTTTCGCCTCTTTTGAAATACTTCCGAATGAGAAAGTTGACCCGGAAAATCCGGTTCCAGCAAATCCGGTGAAAGCATTTGGAGTACTAGAAAGCTGTTGGAATGAACTAAATGGGATTCCGGCATTGGCCTTTTCGTCCTCGTTCTCTGTTTTCTCACCTTCTGTATCTTTCCGACTTTCATTCTTTCCCTCACTCTTCTCGTCTGATTCCAGTTTCTCGGATACAATCTCAGCGCTGTTTTTGTGAACAGTGGAATCCACTCTATCGGGATCCTTGGTTTGATTTTCTGATTGTGTTTTTCCCCACTCGGCTTCCTTGTCTAAATCAGATTTTACAACCCCGACTTCCTTGTTTACCTCGCCTTTTACCTCCTCGGATTCCTTGTTCACCTCATCTTTTGCGACATCAATTACCTTATCCACCTCAACTTTCTCAGTTTCAGCATCCTTGCTAGCATCATCTTTTACCGCCTCGAATTCCTTGTTCCCGTTGAGTCCACTTGATACTGGGAAAACACTAGGGAAAGAACATTGAGAGAAGAAAATGAGAAGCAAAGAAAAATTGAAGCATTATATAGAGAATAATACACACATGCACACACATGGAGGGTATAATGGTTTTAAAAATTAATCATGTTTCATTTTGCTTTCCATTTCCAAAAGTAAATCTAGACGCAAGAAAACCTTCTCTTAGCAGTCCCATTTCACTAGTAATTAACGGGATTTGAGCTTACCCATCCCCTTTCACCTCCACGGAATCCACGCTCACATCATGTTTTTCTTCTACCTTGTCTAATTTCACACCTTCTGTTTTATCTGTGGATACTAAAGGAGTAGTAGGAGGAACCAAACGTATCCCAGCAAATGGATTTGTAGAAGGAGCAGGAGCTGATGATGTCGCATGCCGTCTCACCTTCACAATCCTTCTATTTGCCATGACCTCATCACTCGCCTTCTTAAAGGTTCCAGTCTCTTGCACAGTCGTCTCATCATCATCATCAAGGCCGGGGTTATCCCGTGATAGTTCCCTCCCGGCAGCCCTCTTTTTTGATGGTGGAAGAACATTTTCAGCATTCTCCATCTGAATGTTTTGAATTTTAAATAAAGATGGCAATTAAAAGTTAAACGCATGCCACCAGTTCATCAGAATGGTATTAAAATGGGAAAACTGGAATACTTCTAATCAGACTTGTGTGTCTCAAAACTATGGAGACTAAATTTCCAAGTGGCATGCATTACTGGTAACTTACATTAACATTGACTCTCAAGTTACATGTGGTGCATGTAATTTAATCAATAAATGCATACCATATGTGAGACTTATTCTCCATAGACTTGTCTGAAAACAGTGAGGAAACAAAAGGCATATATCTCTGTCTACACACAAAAGTCAACAACTAAAGGCACATGGGAGAAATGAAACAAAAAGCACATGTGATATTTTACACACAAAAATCAACAACTAATCAATTATTCCCTCCGTCCCACTGTCTTTGTCCACTTACCTTTTGGCACACCATCCAATGCACTTCTTTAATCCATTTTATTTTGTAATTTGTATATTAAAAAATTATAAAAATTATATATTAATAATCTATATGTTAAGACGAATCAAACAAGATCACACATGACTATTTTTAGGCTTACACATTGAGAGAATTTGATGAGTCAAAGTGCTTAGATGAACAGTTCCAAAAGTCAAAACTGGACAAAAACAATGGGACGGAGGTAGTATAAAAATCTCACAACCAACAATTATACAAAATAGGATAATAAAATGATGAACTTATGCCAAAACAACCAGTCTTGTGACATATAAACACATAAATTCATCAGAGGTCCTAGTTAGGAAGGAAAGGGGATGGAACATCATGAGTCATAACCCATGGATCATAACTCGGAAAGTAATATCATAGGCTCCTAGCTAGTATGTAAAATTTATAAAAATTACTTCTACGCAATTTAGATGTGCATATGAATAGTACAGCTGCATAACATATAAAAAAGATAACTTAGTTACAGACTAAGGAGAAGAAAAAAGAGGGTATTGCTAATAGAGATGAAACCTAAGTACTCAAAGAGTAGTTCTCGACTGACTAAGAGGAAAAAAGTGAGAGAGAGAGAGAGAGCGATGGAGAGAAAAGAAGCAAGAGAGAAGAAAAACATACCAATTCGCAAGACGGTGATGATAATGTACCAGTAAGGAAACACAAGATGGGTTGTAGTGTTACAGATTTTAAACGTAGTGAATAAGTTGTGTGAAAAGTTACAATATTTAAGGGTTCAACATTTCGTAAATTTGAATCCCCTATTTTCTTCATTACATGGATCCGGGAAGACGACCTGATGTGATCCCGCTCATCCAATTTGCACTTTCCAAGATCATATCAACATAAAACCCTCTTATAATCTCCGAAGTATTCCATTTGATGTAAATAAGGATTTAAAAAAATTGTAAACCAGCATAAACCACATCAAAATCACAACTCAAGAACAAAAAATTGCGCTAGTTTTCATTTCCCTACACATAAACTCAACCCATAACTCAACTCAAAAGCATATGAACATAAACCCACAGTCTTCTGACACTAAGTAAAAGTAATTTTAACTTCAAAAAGCAATTAACTAACAAAATCATCTAGAGGTCTAATCAATGTAATGAATTTAGAAAAAAACACATACAAATCCAGATTTCATGAACACACAGTTAAGCTCCCCTTAATTTCAAAAGTTCTTCTCTACTGTTCAACTACGAAGCGATGATGCGCCGTACCTGGGCAGAAATCGGGTGCCGGAAAGGGCTCCGATAGGTCGGAACTCGATAGATATGAATCGGGGGTTGATGATAGAGTTGGAATGCAGCGATTCGACAGAGATTTGCAGCCTCAGATCTGCTTGATAGCGGCGCGTATTATCAGATCTTTCTAAGATTATTAGGGTTACTTCTTGGGATCTTTTGTAAATGCAAAAGCTTTCTTTTTTGGTACCTTTATTCTTTTTTTGGGGATCTTTTTGGCATGTTAGGATTTTGGTACTTCATTTGTTTGTCTATAATCTTCCTCCTTGTTTGACTTTTCACGATTTTTAATATTCTCTCTGTTCCAAATTATTTGTCACATTTCTATTACCGAGGCAAAATATCAAGTTTTTTCAATTCATTTTACTCCATATTGATAAAGAAATAAAAAATAAAAATTACATATCAAAAAACTACATGAAAAGTTCTTCGAAATAAGAGGTGTCAAGAATATTTTATTTTATCAAATAACCAATGAAAACATAAAAATAAACAAAAGTTTCTGTGACTGTTGAAAAAGCAACTGTGGCAAATAATTTGGGACAGAGGAAGTATAATCTTTTGATGGTTAATATTGATAGTTAAATATATTTATATTTATAAAAGTTGACATTTCAAAACTATGTTTTATAAGAAAATTATTAATATTACGATTATCGGTGGGGTTATAGTGACACCGAAATACGGTGACACTTCTGTGTCACTGTCATTTTGGGGCACTTTCAGTAACAATTCATGAAGGAATGAGGGGAAAGGGGTGATTGGTTCGGTAGGAGGTTTAGGAGCAATTGGGGATAAAAACAATTAATTTTTTAGAGAGTATCGCAAGAATTCCGACTTATTCTATGATATTGATGACCAATGTCATAGGAACCGGGCGTTAAAATTGATAGTTGAAATTGAAATCTGAAAAGTATAAATATGAAAAGTTAAAAGAGTAGCCCACATCGAGTGAGCTATTGAATAGACCGAATATTTTTACCATTTTATCCTTCTATATAAATATCTTGGATAAACAAACAATATTTATTGGATAAGTAATAATTACCCCCTCGTACCAAAAAGTCTTTCATGTTTCATTTTTTGCGTATCTCATAAAACACTTCTACCGACATTTAAAATGCCTAAAATTTACAACATTTCTTCTTTATTGTGGGTAGAAGTTATTTTAAAAGTTTTTTTGGCATTCAAGGCGGGATATAAGTGTTTTATGGGATGCGCAAAAAATGAAACAGGAAAGACTTTTTGGGACGGAGGGAGTACAATTTATAAATTATTTCTTATGTCCTGGAGTATTTGTCCTATTTTGATTTTTTTAATCAAAATTGGTAAACTTTGACCCTAAATTAAATAAAAATAATATTAAATATTGATACAAAAATAGTTTTATTAGATTTATCAAATAAAATATTTTAAAAATTTTATTTTATCTAATTAATATACAATATATTTTATTTAATTACTCCCTCTGTCCCGTTTTAAATCGCCTGTTTTGACTTTTAGGCATATTTAAGAAAAAGAAAAAATAGAGTTAATTTTTCGAAATTGTCATTACTTTTTAGGAGGGTGGCGATGAATTAGAAATTAAGGTGAAGAAGGGTGACTTATTTTAGTGGTAGTTTAGGTATTTTATTTTTAAAAGTTTACGATAACAACTAACATGCAACTTATTTTGGGATGGAGAAAAAAGGCAAACAGACAATTTAAATTGGGACAGAGGGAGTATAACTTAAGGTTGAAATAGTTAACTGAAAAAAGTCAAAGTTTGACAAATATTCCAAGACGAGACGGAGGTAGTATATAAAATTATATATTGTATATTACGGTTATATTACACTCCGTATTACAAAGTACTCCCTCCGTCCCGTTTTAAATTGCATGTTTTGACTTTTGTGCATATTTAAGGAAAATAAAAAATAAAATTGATTTTTTGAAATTGCCATTAGTTTTTAGGAGAAATGACGATGAATAAAAGATAAGGTGGAGAAGAGTGGCTTATTTTAGGGATAGTTTTGATATTTTACTCTTAAAAGTTTACGAAAACAAATAACAGACAACTTATTTTGGGACGGAGAAAAAAGACAAACAAGTAATTTAAAATGGGACATGGGGAGTATAATATATTATACAGTATCCCTTATAAATTATACAATACATGAAATATGTCTTTGAATATAATTTCAAACTAAATTCGCCATTGCAAAAAGCCAACAAGCATTATCCGAACAAAGAGTCAAAAACAAATTTTCTTAAAACCATGTTGCCCACCCTTACGCTATGTCTAATCTGGTGGAATGGCTTCCACCTTATATCTGATGATATAATGAATTAAGCTTTTTTTTCTTAAAAAAATTGTTTACCAAACATTTGTGTAATACCCAGAATAACTACTCCATACCACGTACTCAACCAATCAAGTCCTAAATTCTCCACATTAAGGTTCCATTCACTTGGGTTAAAAAATTTAACTTTCAATTTTTTCAATTCTTTCCAGTTTTTTCGAACTTATTCTAGTTTCTTCTAATGACTTAAAAAGGTATTTATATATATTTAATATAAAATAATATTATATATTCAAATTTATATATATCACCTCAAACACATATACTAATGAATTCTCTTTCATCCAAAATTAAAATTTTCATTTAAAATTCGATGATCATTTAATAGAATAACTTTTTAACACTTAAATTTTTCTAATATTTTTCAACTTTTTTTAATTTCTTTTAAGTTTTTCCACTTTCTTCAAAATCCAACTATAAAATTTCAATCCAAAAGAACATGGCCCAAGTGAACTAAGTTCACACCTACTACAGTCACAAGATTGCTTTGATACCATTTGAAAAATATCAGCCCTATGGACATGGAAATAATTACTCATAAGTTTGTAGATTGGCTCCACAAATCGAAAAAGTTGACAATTGAGCTAGAAAATGAGGCAATGAAAAAAAATGAGGCTTTAAGCCACAAAGAATAAGGGACTAATGATCTGATCCTGTTGAACCACCCAACAATCACCATCCACCTTACACTGAACCAAGCATGAAAAACTTTTCACACCCAAGATAAAGGTAAAAAGTACAAAGAGATAGGATGAAATATTCAAATGAAGTTTTTGGCAAATTACACCAATATTGGTAATTTTTACCCTCTAACCTCCCCCCCCCCCCC